CGAGTGGCGATGTTTACACACCGCACCAAAGTGCTCATTTGAGGCCGAGTCGATCGAGGGGGGGGATGATGAAACCCGGCTCAGACGGACGCCACCGCTGTTGGCCGTGAGCGGGAATGGAACCCGTGTCGCCCGGGGATCGTAGCGCAGCGCTCGCCCGCGACGCCTCCGTCCCATTGGTGGATGCTGATGCTGTGGGCAGCACCACGGTGCGGTTTGGATGAAGAACGGGGGGGAGGAGGGAGGAACGGGGGGGGGGCGGAGAGGGCTCTGCTCTCATTATTCCCGGGACTGCACAGTTGTCATCCCCGGAGGTAGATAAATGTATATCCCCCTCTCCTGCCGAATAAAAGATGTTGAATTGACAATGCCAGGGTTCGGGGTTGGTTAGCGCTCGAGTGGGAGACGGCTTAGGGATATCACCCCGCTGCAGGGTTGTGGGGACCGAGCGGGGGAGATTTGCCCAGACAGGGCAGCGCAGCGCGTGTTGTCAAGATTCTTGAATCTATCTGTGAGGAGCTGTGGGTGTCCTGTACGCGCTTGGTTTAATCCGGGTTCTGTAGGGTTCCTTGCCACGCGGGGCCGACAGCTCTTTGTCGGCTGCAAGCCACGCATCCCAATGAGCAGGATCCTCCTCGGAGGGAGCCTTGAGACTCACTGAGACCCCCCCTCCCCCCCTCCCCCCCCACAAGGTAGAATGTATTATTACTTCAAAGTGCGTATAAAACATGAAAACAACATCACCGGTTTAAAAATTCAACAAGCATCAATTTCTTATTGCATTAAGGCATCGTCACGCCCTGGGGGATTTCACCATCATTCACCAGGCTGGTCAGTGCGGGTTGGCGATAACCTTCTAGTTTGAACCCCCCCCCCCCCTCCACGGGAAATTCAACAAATCGCATCCCGTGCAGCACCACGCCCGGCCGCTTTTGTATCCTCAATGCTGATGCTTGCTCGCGGCATTCTGGCAAAATCGCCCGATGCTGCTGTAATAAACCAGCGAAACGTCGTGCTCAAAATGTAAATCCCGTGGATTTACTCTCCAATACACTGAAGTAGTAACCGATTGGCACGGTTTGTTTACGTGACAACCCTTTACTGGTTGGCTGTGGCGGGTGGTGGCGGGTTCACGACACATTTATATTTATGCGATCTAACCCCAAAAATGTATTATTAATAATATTGGTCGCCAAAGCCTCTTACGTGTCAAAGTGACACGGTAACGAGGTCTCATTTAAGGGCTGGGTGGACCTTGTGGAATCCCAGGACCGGTGCAAATAATCGCCACCGATGTTATCCGCCGGGAATTGAACCGCTAGTCGTAGCCCAGTGCGCTAACCGCAGCGCCACCGCTCCCCAACATATATACCGACACGCATTCATACAAATTAAAGGCCTCCCCCCAGAGCCATACAGACTGCTTTGGGCGAATGTCACACGAGGGGTTGAGTGGCTAGCACCACACCCGGCCGCCTTTGTCTCCCCAGTAGCGATATTTTACACACCGCACCGGTTAGTCATTTGAGGCTGAGTCGACCTCGGGGAGGTCCAGGACCACACACACACACGTGCGAACACAATGGCACTGACGCGCACGCACACACTCTGTGCCGCGCACACAACGTGGGTTCACAATCATGAATGATTACAAATCAATGGCAGACGCCTGCGTGATCGCGCGCCCGTGATGAACGCAGTGCAACTCGTTATGACGACACCCCCCACTCCTCACTCACCCCGCAAACAACCAGAGGCGAGGCGGGGGGAGGGGGGGGTGTGCTTCGTTCCACAACCCCCACCCCCAGTATAGCCTTTAACAGACTGTTGGGGGCAAGTGCTTTTCGCGAGTAGCACCTATGAAAGCCGACACGGGCACACGCGGGGGTGGGTGGCCAGCGCCACGCCCGGCCGCCTTTGTCTCCCGAGTGGCTATGTTTTTTTTTTTTACGCATCGCACCAGGTACTCATTTGAGGCTGAGTCGATCTAGGGGAGACCCAGGACCGGTTCAAATGTTTAGCCACTTTTATTGGTCGCGAGCGGGAATCGAACTCGGGATCTCGCCGGGTTCGTAGCGCAGCGCGCGAAAGCGTCGGGCCACCGCTCCCCAGCACTTTGTATCGCAACCACGGCGACCACCGCCAGAGCCACCAATCACCACCAAATTATCAGTAGCACCCCCACCACCGCCATCTCCAAGTCCACCGACACCACCAGTGAGCACCTCTCCCACGGCTCCCACCACCAACCACAACAACCCTCGCAACCACAACTCCTGCGTTCCATTCAGCCGCAACAACTTCGCCTGTTCCGCTCCGGTCCAAAGGCACCTCCGCTGCCCGTGAAGATGAGTGGCCGCTAAACGCGCCGCGGAACGAGATGCCACATTGGCATCACGGACACAGCCACCCCACCCCCTCCGCCCCCCCCTCGCCCCCCCCGGGGGCTGTCTGTGTGGATGAGGGTTAAAGGTGCACGATACCAGCGGTTGTCAACATCGGCCTCTGTGTAGGAGGAGGCTCGTGAAGGACGCTGCTGCTACTGGGCAGTTGGAGGCAGTCGCCCCTCCAGCAACAACGGAGGGCAGCAGAGGAGCGACGCTCACAACAACGAGCGGGGCGCCGGTGCGGATAAAACACAGCTAAGTTGGCACAGTAGGAGGCACGGGTGGTGCATCGGCCAGTCATCTCAGTCACCTCAGTCAGTCAACCCATGGCACCTGCTGGGTCTGTCGTGTGGCCTCCTGCCAGCGGGCGTTCGATACTTCACGTGGCCTTAAAGTGCACATAGCCTGGCACAAGCGCCGTGGTGATATTACCGCAACTTAGTGGCGAATGGCGGTGGTGGTGCACGGTGCTGTGTGCTGCGAGGGTGGGGGGTTAGGGGGGTTAGGGGACTGGGGAGGAGTACGGTGGCGAGATGTTAACTCCCTCGCTTGATATGCAGGAGGTCATGGGTTTGATCCCGACTGACGCCTGCTGTGTATATGGAGTTTGTGTCTCTCTCGCTCTCTCCCCGTGGTCGCGTGGATTTTTCTCCTGGCCCTCTGGTTTTTCTCTCCACATTTCGAACCGACATCACGCGGTTAGAGTATCTGGTTACTGCTATACATTTCCACATGATAAGCACACTTCGTTGAACGAGCATTTGTGGCCAAGTTGCTTCTGAAAAAAGAGATCTATAGCTCAGTGAGCTTTACCTGGTAAATAAAGTTGAAAAAATAGTTTAGTTTATATAGTTTAGATGATGAGAGGGGTGTGGGAGTGCAGGATTATTCACCATCATCAGCACCAGCATCAGCAGCAGTATCAGCAGCAGCAGCAGCAGAAACCGCGGGAGGAATTGACCGCCCAGATAAAAGCATGAGCACAACGGGTTCATCGCGAGTCCACTCGATTGACCATTGACCCCGGTGGGCTACTAACCCGTCAGGTGACCCATTGATATAACAAGTTAGACCACCACCTCCTCCCATTGGCTAAGTCATCAATGTGCATCGTACAAGATTCACCACCACACCATTAAAATACAATTCGTACATCAGATAAATTAAAGCATTACACAGCCAGATAAGCCATAACCTGTGCAATATTTTGGTTCATTAATCCACTGCTGGATGAAGTACCTAGCCCCGTGCCGTGCGGGACGTGGGGGTTGTTATGTTTTTGTCATACTTCACCATTCTGGTCAGTACGGCTCGGTGAAGAATCGGAGCACAAAATGATTGATTTTGCTACACTAACCCTCTGCTGCCCATAACGTACACCTGCAGCAGCCGATAGCACCTGCGATCCACGGGTAGTCGCCTGTGCAAGTCCGATCCAATCACCTGGAATTTATTCGTAAGCTCCACGGGATCTCAGAAGATAAGCAAGCGTTTGAGCCTGGACATTATAATTCAGTGAGGCCACGGGCCACTAAATTAAGGTACCGATTTATGTTCGGGATAAGCCACCAAACTATAGGAATCGACGTGTGGCTTCAGTTTAAGTAACCCCCCAAACTCGGACCCAAACAACTCACCATCCAGCCACGTTTAACCAAACATTCAAGCGCTCACCCACCCAACCGGCCATCCAACCATTCACCAAACCAACCGCTCAGACAATGAATCACTCAAATAACCAGCCAACTACACTCAACCAACCCGATAACCTACCAGCCAACTACTCACCCACCCAACCAATAAAACAACCCCACCCCTCAACCACCCAACCAACCAACCACTCACCTAACCAACCACTCATCCACCCAACCAACCAACCACTCATCCACCCAAACAACCAACCACTCATCTACCCAACCAACCAACTACTCACCCACTCACCCACCAAACCAACCACTCACCCACCAAACCAACCACTCACCCAACCACTCACCCAACCAACCAACCACTCACCCATCCACCCAACCACTCACCCACCAAACCAACCACTCACCAACCCAACCACTCACCCACCAAACCAACCACTCACCCACCCACTCACCCACCCAACCAGTAAAACAACCCACCCCTCACCCAACCAACCAACCACTCACCCAACCAACCACTCGCGCAACCAAACAGTCAGCCAACAACGAATTCATCCATCCACCCCACCCATCTCAACCGTCAACCAGCCACTCGCCCGTCCACCACCGGCACACATCGACTCGCTCTCCGATCCGACGACCTTTCTGCCATCCACCTCCCCCTTTCATGCGAACCCCTCGACCCAACCCGACCCGGTCCTAGCCGAGCCGAGCCGAGCCGCGCTAGAGCCGAGCCGCGCTAGGGCCGAGCCGCGCTAGAGCCGAGCCGAGCCGCGCTAGAGCCGAGCCGAGCCGCGCTAGAGCCGAGCCGAGCCGTGCTAGAGCCGAGCCGAGCCGCGCTAGAGCCGAGCCGCGCTAGAGCCGAGCCGCGCTAGATCCGAGCCGAGCCGCGCTAGAGCCGAGCCGAGCCGCGCTAGAGCCGAGCCGAGCCGCGCTAGAGCCGAGCCGAGCCGCGCTAGGGCTTCACCTGGCGAAGCGGCCGGCGCCGGACGTGCACCTGCGAAGAGCGCCCAGAGCCCAAGGAGTGCTCCCCGTGTCCACCTCATCACGACTCCTCCACCTCCTCCTCTTCTTCTTCTTCCACCACCACCCTCTTCACTAGATTATGCTCGTCCGACTGGCAGTGATGATGCTGCTGCTGCTTGTTGATGATGCTGCTTGCTGATGATGATTAATGTAGATGATGCTAATACGACTGATGGTAATGCTGATGATGCTGCTCTTTTATGCCGATGCTACTGCTGCTGCTGGTGGTGATGATGTTGGTATTGCTACTGCTGATGCTACTAATTCTGATGCTACTGCTGCCGATGCTACGGCTGCTGCTGATGACACCGAAGCTGCCGCTGATGATGCAGCAGCTGATGCCGATTCCGCTGACAATGGAGCGATTATTGCCTAAGCGGGGTGGAGCGAGAGCGCCTATTGTTTGCTAGACGGTGATGGTGGGGGTACTGTGATGCTGTCGATATAGCCGACGGTGGAGGTGAACGTATGCTCTGCCCTGTTTGTGTCTCTCTCCCTCCTCCTCCTCTCCGAGAGCACAGCGAGCAGCCGCCGGGAGAGACAGCGGAGAAATGGGAGACGGAGTGGTTGGTTTGGAGGAGGAGGAGGAGGGGGGGTAGCGATGGTGACGATGTTGGGGGCTGGGATGGGAGTGGGGAGCCGAGAGGTCCGGAGAGGTGGGGGGGGCACTGGGTGGGGATGGCGTGAAATTGAGGATGACGGCATTGGAGTGTTTTGTGACGCCCCTGCATGTGGTGATGTCATAGTTTAGTGGTTGCACTCTGTGTGGTGACGTCATGGTTCTCAATGCTCGAGTCAATATTCCCACCACCAGAGCAGCACGCCCGTGGTACGCGTGTATGTCATGTTGAACTTCTTTCGCACCGGTAGCTATTACGCAGGTAAGACTCGCCGAGTCTCAGGGCTCGTTTCCAGGAGACTCCTGCGCCATGGGGGTGTCTGGCCAATGTTTGTGGATTTTTTTTGTCTTTGTGTAACGGCAGTGCCGGATTGAGCTAGTGCGGGGACCTGTAACATTTGTTATAAAGGGGCCCTAATTTTTTTTTTAAAAGCACAAATATTAAAACACAAATTTTTAAATGTGCATAGTAGAGTAATTGTATTTTGTCATTCGCTATACAGCCGGATAATACGACAAATCGCTAACATTAAACATCCAGTCGTTCATAAAAGTTGAAGGCGGTATAGTACTATAGTAATAGAGCAAGTGCAGAATCACTGAACCGGAATTGATAGCTTGAAAGCATTTAGCGCGGGGCCCTTGAAAGCGCGGGGCCCGGAGCACGTGTGTAGCTACTACACGTGTAGCTACTTTTGCTACGAGGATAATCCGGAAGTGTGTGTAACGGCTCAGACGACGATGTGATCGGAGCCACTTTATTGGGACACGGCCACGACACGGGGCCCTTGGGCTTCGTCCTCGCCTGCAGCTCGTCACTTTCTCCGAACGTCGCCACTCCTCGTGCTCTTTAATACTCATCGAGCCCCCCCCCCCCCCCCCCAATCTGGAACCTACTTGTCCTTGTGTTTTATTATTCCTTAGCCCAATCTCTGCCGTTCCCCTCGAAGGGACCCTCTCTGTTTTCCACTTCATCCCGTTCTAAACGTATCCCTCCAATCCCTTTAAAAGTCTGCCTACCGACCACTCACCGTGGAGGCGCCTTTCGACCAAATCGGAGACCTTTGATAATTTTAAAATCGCTTATTTATTGGACTTTGCGGTCATTTTCGATCATTGCATTCGCACCGGAGTGCTTGAGCGATGTGTGTGTGTGTGGTGTGGGGAGCGGTAGTGTAGTGGTTAGCGCTACGCTGCGCTACGAACCCGGCTACCGAGTTCGATTCCCTCTCACGGCCAACACCAGTGACGATTATCTGAACCGGTCCCGGTCCTGGGCCTCCCATAGGTCGACTCAGCCTCAAATTAGTACCTGGTTGGGTGTGTAAACATCGCTACTGGGGAGACAAAGGCGGTCGGGCGTGGTGCTGGCAACCCCACCCTCTCGTGTACCATTCCGGCCTTCACAGGTACTCGGGTGTGACAAGTGCTCGCTAACAGCACTTGCCCCTACAGTATGTTACAGTCTGTTATAGGCTATACGGGGGATCTTTGTCTTTGCTGTGCAAAACTTTGCACTTGTTCCGGTGTGGAATACGAGCAGCGGAGTTGAGAGCGACCATCTCCAACTGCGACCGGGACAGCACCGAGGCTCAACCCACAGGGCCGTTCCATCGTGGGGGGCTCTTCAAGCGAGTAGCCGAGTGGATGATGATGATGATGGTGACGATGATGAAAACATCGGGTGTTCTGGGCGGGCTATAAAGCTGTAAGGTGGCTCGCAAAAGCACACGAACACGAATGCCAAAAAACAAAGTGCAAACCACCAACATGCACGCTTGTCAATAACTGCGTGGCCTTCAGAGGAGAGCAGATAAATAATCGGCGACGTCCGGGGCAATGTGTGCCTGCTGTACGCCAACGCCGCAGCATCGCCAAATCGTTTGGCTAAAATTTGCAGCCCAACGTTTGGTGGCACTGTTACCCCGCCCCGCTCCCTCCCCCCCAATATTTTCCGTCCATCTTCGTCACGGCTCCGGCCCGGCTCCGGCTCGGCTCTGGCGCGAGTGAGGCGGCTCAAAGCCACGCGCGCGAACTCGAGTCGGATCCGAGCCATACGGCGACAGTCAGTGGCGCTCAGGATTTCCGCGAGCCGAACCCGAGTCGAGCCACACGGCCGAACCGAGCTCCCTCTATGAGCCTCCTCCTCCGTCTTTGCGAGCTGCAGAGCGGCACGAGCGGAAGCCGAGCCACTCCTTAGAGGTCACGCCCGAGCCACTCTTTAGAGGTCACGCCCGAGCCACTCTTTAGAGGTCACGCCCGAGCCACTCTTTAGAGGTCACCCCCGAGCCACTCTTTAGAGGTCACGCCCGAGCCACTCTTTAGAGGTCACGCCGAAGCCGAGAGCTGTCTTAAGAACGCGGCCCAGAGATCCAAAACTCAGGTGTTCGGATCTCGGGCCGGTCAGAGTCATGGGTGTGACTCCACTCTGTGATGTTGTAACGGCGCTTTAATAAAAAACAAACGCACAAAACAATTGACGCTTAGTTTTATTATTATTTATATTTAAAAAAAAACTTTTTTTATTAAAATGGTTGTTCATTAGTATTGCTGATGGAAAGAGGTCGTCGCAAATCAAAACATTTAACATTTCAAGAAAACGTTGACGTTCATTTGTTGTTAAGGTTTTGAGTGGAAGTCGCCCAATGTTTATTGTAGCCCGAGGCACCATCGCTGATCGCCGTCTTCACATTGACCTCTCGCGACCACACCAATCATCACCACCACCATCACTTTGGTCGTCATCATCATCACTCGTATTAATCATCACCAACCAACAATCGTGTTAATCGTTAGTTTTATAATCAACTTATCTTACATTGGTTATCGTCATGAGCATCACGATCATCATAATCATATAATTATCGCTATCTTGTTAGTCATCACCACGATCATATCATCATCTGACATCAGTCAATACCGTCGTTACCGTCACCACGATCATGTCATCATGATCTCACATTGGTCATCATCATCGTCGCCACCACCACATCGTTCTCATATCGTCATCATCGTCATCATCATGGTCACCTTTATAATCGCGCTCGTTTGACTGATATGATTGACACTCGCGTAGTCAGTAACTCAAGGGAATGAGGCGTTGCTAGCTTAGCAGAATCACTGAACGCGAGGAGGATGAGACTCATATCCGGGCCTCACCGCGGGTTGGGGTAGGGGGGGGGGCAAAGACCACCCCCTCCCCACCCAACCCCTCGCTCCCTCTATGCTGCTGTGCCCCCTGGCGGCAAAGCGGATAAGAGTCGCTGAACACGAATTCACATTCGCCACCCAGCGGCATGGATTCAGGGTTGTTGGATAAAGGGGTTAAGATTGGGATCATGCGGGAACGGGGGTTAGTGCGAGGGTTACGGTTCGGACAATGTGATGATGAGGGCTGGTACAAGGGTTCGGGTTAGAGCGAGGGTTTGAGTTGTTTGGGTTGGGGTTTTGGGCGAGAGTTTAAATTAGGGTTAAATTACGGACATGATTAGCGCAGATGGTTACGTGTAAGGACTGCAGTTATGATTTGGGAAATGGCTAGGATTGGGGAATACTGTTTAGAGAGAGAATGAGGGGTTCTGGTTAAAGTTAACATTCGAGTTAGGGTTATGATTACTATTCGGATTTTGGTTAGACTGACGGTTAGGTTTCGGGTTAAGCTGAGGATTTAGGTTTAGGGTGGGCATTGGGCAGCATTCTGCTTTGTCGGTGACCCTGAGCCAATGGTGGAAATTCCACAATACTTTGGCAGGGTTCATTGTCACAATAAGACGTCTTATTCATTGCGAGCGCGTTTATTAATATTTCCAGTTTTCGCGACCAAGCACAGCCGTTCCCTATAAAATACAAATTTTAAAAAAACAATACATTTTACATTAAACTATGACCTGACAATCACATTAAGGACAATCACATTTCGTGAGTACAATACCAGGCCACCATTCAACTCCCCCCCCCATTACTGCACTCCCCTCCCATTCAGCCTCCCATGTACCTGACGAATGCAAGCATGGCGTGCAAGGCGATGGTGTGACCGGAAACGCTGATGGCCGCCTTTGTCTCCCCAGGTGCTGATGTTCCAGACACCTCGCCAGGCGCTCATTAAAGGTTGGAGTTGACTTGCAGGAGGCCCGGGGATAAGTTGAGACGTCGCTCGTGACTAATATTGTCCTAGGACGGGATTCGAACTCGGGTGTTCTGGTTTTTTTCGCCCAGCGTGCGAAGCACTGCACCGCCAGGGTTTCAATTTAGGCGGAAAATATTTCCACACCCGTCGCACCACATCCAGTATTCAACATCCCTCTGGCTGCTAGTCACGTGCCATTTACTCCAGTCAAAGAGCTACCCGGGTAACATTCAGTGAGAAATTATGCACCGGCTCCAAACACCACCACCATCACCATCTCTACCACCAGCTTCCAACCACCACCTCCCGCCAAACAATAACCATCAAGCGTACAGAGAGGCGGAGAGGGGAGAGAGGGGATGGAGAGAGGCATGGAGATACAAGGGGAGACGTGGGAGGTGGAGAGGGAAATGGAGAGAGACAGACAGAGATGGAGAGAGACAGAGGGCGATGGAGAGAGACAGAGGGAGATGGAGAGAGACAGGGGGAGATGGAGAGAGACAGAGGGAGATGGCGAGAGACAGGGGGAGATGGAGAGAGACAGGGGGAGATGGAGAGAGACAGAGGGAGATGGGGGGAGACAGAGGGTGATGGAGAGAGACAGAGGGAGATGGAGAGAGAGACAGAGGGAGATGGAGAGAGACAGACAGAGATGGAGAGAGACAGAGGGAGATGGAGAGAGACAGAGGGAGATGGAGAGAGACAGGGGGAGATGGAGAGAGACAGACAGAGATGGAGAGAGACAGAGGGAGATGGAGAGAGACAGGTGGAGATGGAGAGAGACAGGTGGAGATGGAGACAGACAGGGGGAGATGGAGAGACAGAGGGAGATGGAGAGAGACAGACAGAGATAGAGAGAGACAGAGGGAGATGGAGAGAGACAGAGGGTGATGGAGAGAGACAGAGGGAGATGGAGAGAGACAGGGGGAGATGGAGAGAGACAGAGGGAGATGGAGAGAGACAGGGGGAGATGGAGAGAGACAGAGGGAGATGGAGAGAGACAGAGGGAGATGGAGAGAGACAGAGGAAGATGGAGAGAGACAGAGGGTGATGGAGAGAGACAGAGGGAGATAGGGGGAGACAGAGGGTGAAGGAGAGAGACAGAGGAAGATGGAGAGAGACAGAGGGTGATGGAGAGAGACAGAGGGTGATGGAGAGAGACAGAGGAAGATGGAGAGAGACAGAGGGTGATGGAGAGAGAGGGTGATGGAGAGAGACAGACAGAGATGGAGAGAGACAGAGGGAGATGGGGGGAGGGACCCAGGGGAAGAAGGTGGATGGGCTCAGGGCAAAATGGGAGTGGTGAAGTTTTGTGGGAAGACCCCGGAGTGGCCGATTACGGTTCGATGCTGGGTCCAGGCCGCCTCCCGCATGCCCAGCAGCCAGCCGTCGTCCTGCAGCACGCAGGGGTCATGGGGCATGCGAGGTCACGGTCATGAGAGGTCAGTGTGGTTACAATCTTTTTTTTTATTTCACCAGGCAAGTGCCCACTGAGCCACGTAGCTCTCTTTCAGAAGCGACCCGGCCACCACAAAAGACAGCTCAAACGAAGCGGCTCATCACGCGGAGAATGTATAAGCAGCCAAATACTGTGAGCACGTATTATTTCCAAACGCGTGTGTTCTCTGAGCGAGCGATCCCAGGTGTGTACACGTTCGCTCACACGTCTCCGGCCGTGCCCACGCGAGCTCGGCGGTGTGCACATCGTCGCAGGCGAGTTAACGACGTGGGCACACGAGCGCTTTTCACGGCCGCGTTCGTCATTTTCCCAGCCGTACCGCTTCAACAGCTGCGTCACCACAGCATTCCCCGGCTGGTGCGTTCCCCGCATATTATTATTGTTTTTGTTCAATTATTGTAATTAAGTACGACTTTTGCTTTCCCAGGAGAGGCTCGTCGAGTCCCAGCGTTTTCTGTGCGCCGTTCCCCCCCCCCCAATCAAGCGATCACCGAGAGGCTTGGAAGAAATTTAACGGCGGCACATGAAGGCCGGCGTTATCGGGTGGCCCTGCAACGCTGCGCTTTGTAGGGGGGCGGGCGCATGTTCGCACGGTTGGCGCCGCGCAGCGGGTATTCACCAGGGCGGCCCGCCGGATTCGCAACGCCGCCGCTCGGCCACGTCACGTGTTCCCTGGTGGTGCGTTATGAAGCGTGACGGCAAGGCCGTAGCCATGGAGTCAACATTGGGGGGGGACCAAATCTTCCAGGGGGTCTAGGGCCCCCTCCCCCCCCCCCCCAGAAAAAAAATGTTAATTTGAAAACAAATTTCCTGCCTAAAATATAAAAAAAAATCACTAGCACATGGGATGGACTTTTTATTTATTTTTGTACAATAATGTCTAATAGTGTTATTGTATTACATTGCTCTGTTTTTTCTATTTTACCTTTTCTTGTTTCATTGTATGTAATGGCAGACATTAGGGATTAATAAAGTACAACCATAACCACAATCATATAACCAGAAATCCAAGCATTGTTATATGAAGGCAAGTCTAGATATTGTGGCCAAGGTTTAGCATTTTTTTATTTTTCTTAACATAGCATAGCAATTTTTTTAAAAAATATTGTTTACATCAATATATTGGGGGGGACATTTTGACCGTATTTTAATATATATTGGGGGGGGGATGTGTCCCCCCCCCAATTTATATTAAAATTACGGCCTTGCATGACGGGCTGAAGGGGGGCGGGGGCGGAGGGGCAAAGCGCTGTTAGCGATACCCCTGTGAAGGCCGGCACGGTACGCACTGGGGGTGGTGTGGCCAGCACCACGCCCGGAGCCCCCCCCCAGTGTGTGAGATGCCCACCTGCTCCTGGCCGTGTGCGTAGTCGAGCACCAGGATGACGTCACCCTCCAGGAAGCTCAGCTCGTCCATGTCGGCGGCCTCGTAGTCGTGGCTCGCGCACACCTGGCGCAGGTGAGGGCAGCGAGCAGGGCCAGGAGAGTATAAGGGGGGAGTGTTGTGTGAGAGTGCGAGTGTGTGTGTGTGTGTCGGGCGTGGTGCTGGCCACCCACCCCCTTTGTGTGTCACCGTGCCGGCCTTCATAGGTGCTACTCGTTAACAGCACTTGCCCCGACAGTCTGTTGAGGCTATACAGGGGATCTTCGTGTTTGGGGAGCGGTGGTGCAGCGGTTAGCGTGCTGCGCTATGAACCCGGTGACCCGAGTTTATTTCCCGCTCACTGCTACCAACACCAGTGACAATTGAATCCTTCCTGGGCCTCCCCAAGGTCGACTCGGCCTCAAATTAGTACCTGGTGCGGTGTGGAAAACATCACCGCTGGGGAGACAAAGGCGGCCGGGCGTGGTGTTAGCCACCCACCCCCTTGTGTGGAGTGCCCGCCTTAATAGGTGCTCGCTAACAGCACTTGCCCCAAAAGTCTGTTAAGGCTACACGGGGGATCTTTATGTGCGTGGAGTGGTTGTTGAGAGCGTACTTCGCGACCTTGTCCGACGACCTCGGTTTGATTCGCAGTGCCACGGCGAACATCAGTGGTGATATCTGAACCGGTCCTGGGCCTCCCCCTAGCTCGACTCAGCCTCAAAGGAATACCTGGTGCGGTATGTGAACATCGCCAAAGCATTCCCCTGCTGTGATGTGTAAAACGTCAGTACCCGGGGGAGACTGTGGCAGGCGGGCGTGGTGCTAGCCGCACGTCCAACCACGGGACCTCCCTACCACCTTAATAGGCGCTCGCTAATCTCGCCAGGGTCATACCACGTGGAGTGCGCTCGACCTGCGCGAGACGTCAGCAGCTGTAGCCAGGGGGTGGCCCAGCCTGGACATCGCTTGGATGAGCGACCAGCAGAGGGCAGTGCAGAAACAGCAATTGTCGTAGTGCTTTATTGTACTGCACTCCTATGCGCTCCCGCCTAACAACCCACCACTGATCGGCGTGGTGAAGTATGGTCAAATAACCCTTTGGGTGGGAGAAGGGGGGACAGTCGAGGGGGGGGGGAATACCTTGAAAAGATATCCGGGAGGTAAACTGAGATTCGCGGCATCTCCTTTCCTCTCGCTGGTGACATCGCCATCACCTCCACCCGTGTCTCCATCGCTCCCCCCTCCTCCGTGCTGCCCTTGATCGTCCCGAGCGGCGTCATCTTGAACCCCGACCGTCGTCGCCTGGAAATCCGCGGAAGCCGCCTCGGCGACGGCCACGGAAGTGGCGGCGGCGGCGGCGGCGCACGGCGCGCCCTCGGAAGCTGTGCCGGCCAACCACGAGAAATCCCCGGAAGCTACTTGAGCCACAATGTCTTGCCCGGGGATATCCTCGGAAGCCGCCCGAGCTGCAGTGACATCCTCGGCAGCTGTTTTAGCCACGCTGCCTTGTCCCGGGATATCGTCGGAAGCCGCACTGGGGACACGGGGCTCTGAACTTGCACCGGTCACTTTGGAAGCATCCACGGAGGGCGATTTAGGTTCTCCAGAGACACCCTGGGAATCATATTTATCTTGGATACAGACATTCTCCGAAGCCGATTTAGTTTCTCCAGACAAATCCTCGGAATCCGCGGGGATGACGACAGAGACATCTGTGGAAGCAGGTCCATCTTCCCCAGAGACATCCGTGGAAGCAGGTCCATCTTCCCCAGAGACATCCGTGGAAGCAGGTCCATCTTCCCCAGAGACATCCGTGGAAGCAGGTCCATCTTCCCCAGAGACATCCGTGGAAGCAGGTCCATCTTCCCCAGAGACATCCGTGGAAGCAGGTCCATCTTCCCCAGAGAGATCCGCGGAAGCCAATTTCGGCCCTCTGCATTCATCCTCGGATGCTGCGTTTGCGTTCTCCGTTCCGTTTTGCGTGGAGTTGGGTCTGGTCGCGTCTCCCTGCTAACCGCACGACAGCAACAACAACAACAACAAGAAACGCAAGATCAGGAGTTGATGCAGAACGATAGAACTGTTACCGTACTTACAGATCGTGTCGCCGCTTCAGTCAGGCTCACCCCCAAACCTGTGCCCGGCGTCAAGAGAGCGATTACAAATATTGCCCCGCTCGAGTCTCAGGACTCCTTATCAGGAGGATGTTGCGACATCATTTGGCCAGGAATGCCATTAGTGGGAGTTGGAGGAACCGGCAGACAGCCCCAGCACGCATACGATGCGGGTTGGGGGGTAACATGCAAAGCTCCGTACAGATGGATTCAGGAATTGCTGTACCGCCATCTACTGGCCACCTCGCAGGCCTGTGTTCAGGAGGAGGGTGGTGGTGGTGGTGTCATCTCCGCCTCAACAAAGGGCGTGTGCACGTGCTTGAGAATGGCAGCAACATTTACAACAACATTTACAATGCAACAACCACAACAACACTTACAACAACTGCAACATTTACAACCACAACAACAGACTGGTCAACGTGATTGCCATCATGTAATATGAATTGTCATCAATACGATCCCATTGGTTGTCATAATAATTGTCTTCATCACCATCATCACTACAATTTCATTTTCATGTATGTACCGTATGTTGAACTTCTTTCGCACCGTACTTAACCAACCGTGCTAATCGGAGGTGCGGAGGGAAGGAAATTTTGTGTCATCATCGCCATCGCTATCGGAGCCGCATTCCCACTCGGACGCCGCTTACCCAGAGTGACTTCACCTACGACCGAATCGGTGCGAGCTGCAGTTCACAGCCACAGCGTAGCCCCCTTCTCGTAGCACCCCCAAAGCCCCCCCCCCCGCGCCCCCCGGGTCACGACCGCCACGAACTATCGCCGATTCGGCCGCGTGGCGCTGCAGACGATTTTCCCTTTGCGGTTTCATTAGTCGGCTGAAGCGGCCTTCCGCTATCGACAACGCCCCCCCGCCCGCCCCCCCGAGTCTTATCGCATCGCCGCAGGCGCATCAGCGCGCACCCGCCGGGAGGGACGGGGCTTGGGCCATGACGGTTCAGTGGCTTCTGAGCAGACGCGCCGCGTACGCTCCTAATACACAGGTACAGACAAAGATCCCCCGCGAAGCCTCGGCAGACCGCTGGGGCGAGTGCTGCCGGCGAGAAGCACCTACGAGGGCCGGCACCGCGCACGCGGGGGCGGTGGGTGGCCAAGCGCCACGCACGAGTGGCGATGTTTACTCCACACCGCGCCGGGTGCTCATTTGAGGCTGAGTCGACCTAGGGGAGGCTAGTACCGGTTCAGAAAATCGTCACCGGTGTTTGAGCGCCCTGGGCTAACCGCTACATTTCCGCTCCCTACCGCCAGACACACATACACGATACAGAGACAAAGATCCCCCGTATAGCCTCCACAGACACTGGGGCAAGTGCTGTTCGCGAGTAGCACATATGACGGTGAACACGGCACACGAAGGGGGGTGGGGGGGGGGGGGGGCAGCACCACGCCCGGCCGCCTTTGCCTCCCCAATACTGCTGCTTACGCACAGCACCAGCTACTAATTTGAGGCTGAGTCGACCTAAGGGGAGACCCAGGACCGGTTCAGATAATCGTCACTGGTGTTGGCCATGAATCGGGCTCGTAGCACAGCGCGCTAACCGCTGCACCACCGCTCCCCCGCAGGCGGAGAAACGCACACAAACACTGAATCAGGTGAAGAGATGCACAGATATCCACAGAGACCCATCACCAAAAAACTAGCACACACGCGGACCAAGTCGCGGACAGACACTCGCACTTAAAGAAGCACAATACGAGTTACACACACAATAGTCACACACAACAATAGAGTACAATAGAGTTACACAATAGTCACACACACAATAGAGTTACACACACAATAGTCACACACAACAATAGAGTTACACACAACAATAGAGTACAATAGAGTTACACAACAGTCACACACACAATAGAGTTACACACACAATAGTCACACACAACAATAGAGTACAATAGTTACACAACAGTCACACACACAATAGAGTTACACAATAGTCACACACAATAGAGTTACACACACAATAGTCACTCACAACAATAGAGTTACACACAACAATAGAGTACAATAGAGTTACACAACAGTCACACACACAATAGAGTTACACACAATAGTCACACACAACAATAGAGTTACACACACAGTCACACACAACACTAGAGTTACACACACAATAGTCACACACAACAATATAGTGCAATAGAGTTACACAATAGTCACACAATAGAGTTACACACACAATAGTCACACACACAATACAGTTGCACACACAATAGTCACACAATAGAGTCATACACACACAGTAGAGTACAATAGAGTTACACAATAGTCACACACGCAATAGAGTTACACATAGGGCCGGATTAAGGCACGGGGCTTCTGCCAGCTGAAGGGCCTCCAGAGATGAAGTCAAAAGTTATTTAATTTGTGAATGCTGAATTTTATTCGTTGTTAGCCTTGTAAAAAAAAGAAATTCCTTTTCTTTAACTTTGTTTTCCTTTTGAAAATATTACTGGGGGCCTCACAGTACCTGTAGCCCAGGGTCCTACACAGTCTTCATCCAGCCCTGACTACACACACACAATAGAGTTGCAATCGTCACACAATGGAGTCACACACAATAGTGTCACACACACAACAGAGTTACACACACAGTAGAGTTACACACAACAGTCACACACACACAACAGTGTCACACACAACAGTGTCACACTCACAACAGTCACACACACAACAGAGTTACACACACAACAGTCACACACGCAACAGAGTAACACACACAACAGAGTCACACACACAACAGTGTCACACTCACAACAGTCACACACACAACAGAGTCACACTCACAACAGAGTAACACACACAACAGAGTCACACTCACAACAGAGTAACACACACAACAGTGTCACACTCACAACAGAGTTACACACGCAGACGGAAACAAAGATATATATTATAGCCTATAACAGACTGTTGGGTCAAGTGCTGTTAAGCGAGTAGTAGCACCTTACGAATGCTACCGGCACGGCCACACCAGCCCTTGCAGGCCAGCACCACGGCCGGCTGCCCTTCTCGCACCCCCCAGCAGCGATCTTCACCACACACCGCACCAGGTACTCATTTGAGGCAGAGTCGACCTAGGGGAGGCCCAGGACCCGTTCTTACGACGACGATGACGGTGACCGATGGGGCTTTTCCCGTCACCCCCCAGGGATTTGAGCAAAAGCATCGGACGTGAACATGTTGCGGGCGGAATTAAACGTGAAAGGGTGACATGACCGGCCTATATAACGCGATCCGCTTTCCGGTGATGATTATATTCTTCTTATTGCAACCGCGGTGCAAGAGTCAAATTGCCGGCGCCTCGCTTTGCCGCTCGAGCAAGCTAATGAGAGTAGCAAGAAAAAGATGCAAGTCACCACTCATCGAAACGTTCTTTAAGTAATCACAGTCACAACAGCAACACTAATACCAATCTCGGCAACTACGTGGACTCACAAAAGGCAAGCACACGCATCATCCTTCGTCATCCAGCAGTGGATTGACATCACGCGTTTTACATTTAAATAAGTAATCGTGTCCCGGGGTGTTTGTAGAAATTGAGGATTTGACAGAGCAATGAATGAATCCTCCTGGCAGATTAACCCGGAGTTTCTTATCGGACTCGCTCAGCCGAACGTGGGCCCCGGCTGTGCTTTTCTTTTTTCGCTCTTGGACACGGGGAGCGGTGGCGCAGCGGTTGGGCGCACCGCACTACTAATCCCAGCCATCGCCACCAGAGTTCACGTTCCCTGCGGCTACAGCGGACGGGAGCAACCGGCTCCATCGGAGACATCACAGTCGTTCCCACACCTCCACAAGGGTGGAGTTCGTGTGTGTGTGTGTGTGCGTGGGCAGCGCCAGTCTAGTGTGCCACACCGGCCTTCATAGGTGCTACTCGCGAACGGCACTTACCTCCAACAGCCTGCTAAAGGCTACCCTGGGGATCTTTGTCTTGTGTGTGCTTGTGTGGGGAGCGATAGTGTAGCGGTCAGCGCGCTGCGCTATGAGCCCGGCGACACGGGTTCGATTCCCGATCACGGCCAACACCCAGTGACAGTTATCTGAACCGGACCTGGGCCTCCCCTAAGTCGACTCAGCCTCAAATTAATACTTGGTGCGGTGTGTAAACATCGCCACTCGGGAGACAAAGGCGGCCGGGCGTGGTGCTGGCCACCCACCCCCTTGTGTGCTATGCCGACCTTCATAAGTGCTGGCTAACAGCACTTAACAGTCTGTAAAGGCTACACGGGGGATCTTTGTCTGTGTCTTGTGTGTGTGCATGTCGCGACTGAAACCGCAGTCCCTGGAGGCGAGAGGCGTTTCCTGTTTTGTTGGCTCCAACTTTTTTTTGTTCAAACTACTGTAGTGCTTGCAACGGCAAGAGTAATAATATTAATAATAATAACACATTAACACAAAAAACGAACACACGACATTCAAGAGAAATGCCTGTTGGCGCTCGCTCCGTGGTTTGCAATTTGCATCTTCGGGGACAAATCACGATCGGTGTGTCACCGTGACCCCTCGCCGTCGATGTTACCGCTAAACCATCTTTTTATTTCACCAGGTAAGGCGCCCCGCTGAGCTGTCCCACAGCTCGTTTTTTACAGAAGGGCACCTGGCCACGTGCGATAGCTCAGCGAGGAGGCTTATCGCGTGGAAATTGACTGCAGCCAAACAATGCAAAGGCACGTTTCTGAATGTGGGGGGGGGGGGGGGGGAAACCGGAGAACTCAGAGAGAAAACGTAAGCACACGCGACCACGGGGAGAATATGCAAACTCCAAATATGCAGGAGTCAGGATCGAACCCACGGCCTCCTGCGTTCATAATCAAGGTTTTTGGGTTTGAATGCGTAAGTATAAATGTGTCGTAACGACGTTTCGCTGGTAATTACATCGAGTAATTGCATCCAGCATCATCAGGCGAATCTGTAAAAATCTCCCGATGATGCTGGATGTCATTACCAGCGCAACGTCGTACTACTCAAATTGTGAATGTTGTGGATGTATTCTCAAACACACCGGTGGGCTGTAGTAGTAACTAACCGGCACGTTGTTTACGTGACAAACCTCACTGGCTGTGTCGGGTGGCGGAGGGTTACGACACAACATTTATACTAACGCGATCTAACCCAAAAAACATTTATCATGAATAACATTAGTCGCGAAAGCCTACCACGTGCTAAACCGACCTCCCTCCTGCATACCAGGCGAGGTAGTTAACATCTTCGCCGCCGCGAGACTGCTCCGGCCGCTTTGCCCCCATCGCACCTCCCACCGCACCGCGGCCGTGCGCTCACCGCTGACAACGTCCGCGGTGTGGGGCGAGGGCGAGGACTCACCGGGTGAGCGGCGGCGGCGGCGGCGGCGGCGGTGGCGGCGAGCTCCCCGTTGGGGGCCCCCCAAGCAGCGTCGCCCGCGCCGTGCACCACCAGGGACCTCCTGGGCGGGGGTCGTGCCGGAGGGGTCTTCTTATCCCCCTGCCACGCACGCGCGGTGTGGAGGGCGCAGCGTCGCAAACCCGAACGTCGCAACATCCGCCCCCGGCAGTTCACCGCACGGCGCACACCGTGTTTGGCCGCCGTGTGACTCTCATCCCGACGGCGTTACGTTTCCACTCGCTAAAAATATTGAGCTGACCTGCACCTGCGCCGAACTTTGTCCGGCACCGCTCGCTCTCACGTTACATCCGCGCCGTTTCATTTTAATTTTACGACCGTTAAATACTGAAGAGTTGTGCGAATATTCCTTAAGGACTCTGTGACTCGTTCTCCGCAAAATATCGATGCTGCTGCTGCTGCTGAGCTCACGCACCACGGATCTCCCGCATAAAATACCCCAGGCAACTGGCTCAATGGGACCGTTATTCGTGTAACATATCAAAATAAACTTAATTCTCACACACACACACACGTAGGAAGGTGTTCCTCATCTCACGAATATATCAGAACCGGTCCTGGGCCTCCCCTAGGTCTACTCAGCCTCAAATGAGTACCTGGCGCAGTGTGTAAACATCGCAACTGGGGAGACAAAGGAGGCCGGAGGTGGTGCTGGCCACCCACCCCTTCGTGTGCCGTGGCGGCCTTCATAGATGCTCGCTTACAGCACTTGCCCCAACAGACCGCTGGGGCTATACGGGGGATCTTTATCTTTGTTGATTTTTTTTTTACCTGGATGGCTGTCGATGATGTGGACCACCTTGGACGAGGAACGGGAATGGCTGCGGGGGGCTCCGTCGTGGGGGTCTCCATTGGGGTCCCCGTGGGTTGCACTGCTGGGGTCCATGTGGGGGTCTCTGCGGGGGTCTCTGTAGGGGGCACGATGGGGGTCCCCGTGGGTTGCACTGCTGGAGTCCCTGTGGGAGTCTCTGCGGGGGGCGTTGTGTGGGGCCGTGTGGGGGGCCGTGTGGGGGTCCCTGCGGGGGTCCCTGCGGGGGTCCCTGTGGGGGTCTCTGTGGGGGTCCCCGTGGGAGGTGCTGTGGACGTGTCTCCATGAGAGGGGTTCCGCTGGGGGCGCAGTGGGGGGGTCTGCCCCCCAGGACTCGGAGCTTCCTTCAGGGATCCCTGAGACCTCCTGTTCGATTCCCTGTGCACAACAACATCATCATCACCAGCATCATCACCAGCATCACGCCACCGCCTAAATACCATCTTCAGCAGCAGCTAACCGCATCGCGCAGCGCTTTCAGATGCGCTTCCACGGCCGTCTGGAACGTTCTTCCTTCCGCTATTAGGAAGCCACTGGGGCTTTGCACTTTTAAATCATCTAGACCGAAAACTCATTTCTTCAGAACTGCATTAAGTGTTTAGTTTGTTGTCCTTTCCCCCGCACCTCCGATTAGCACGGTTGGCTACGTACGACGCGGTATAAGTTCAACACACAGTAGACGCACCCTCATTACGATTCCATTGTAGGAGTATCATCGTCATCATTGGATTCCCTAAACATCATATCCCATCATCATCCACCACTGTGGACTCTGCTCCATTGCATCATCATTACTCGATTGTAATCATAACCAAAATCTCAATACATTTGTAGATTACACTGTGGGGGGCTTGCAAGGAATATATCTGTCCGTTCTGTATTTACGAAGGCAGTGTTTTTTTGTGTTGCATTGCTGTTGTTAACTGTGCTTGTGTACCACTACCAACGCAGCAGCAGCAATCACGAAATACGTTATCACCGTCGTTATCAGCGGTCATCATCGTCTGTAACAAACCGTCATCGTCCATCACTCAATATCCTAATCATCCACAACATCAACAATGTCAATAGCAGCAGCAGCACACATATCAGCATCGTCAACCACCGGATCAATATCTGTCTGTGAGGGCATGGGGGGGGCATGTCTATCAGTGAGCCACTGTGCTCGTGTGTGTGTGTTGGTGTGTGTGTGTTGGTGTGTGTGTTGGTGTGTGTGTGTGTGTGTTGGTGTCTGTGTGTTGGTGTGTGTGTGTTGGTGTGTGTGTGTTGGTGTGTGTGTGTTGGTGTGTGTGTGTTGGTGTGTGTGTTGGTGTGTGTTGGTGTGTTGGTGTGTGTGTTGGTGTGTGTGTGTGTTGGTGTGTTGGTGTGTGTAGGTGTGTGTGTGTTGGTGTGTGTGTGTTGGTGTGTGTGTGTGTGTGTGTTGGTGTGTGTGTGTGTCCGGCAAAACAACCCCCTACCTCCTCGCGGTGCCGGACGGGCAACTCTGTCGTGGATAGTGCTGTGGGGGGAGGGCCAATTCCGATTGGCTCCTCCCCTCATGTCATCTGTGACCACCACAGTGGCTAAACGGGGGCTCTGGATAGGTGCGAGGGGCTGGTAACCCCTCCACCTTCAAATTAATTACCACTAAACTACGACTAAAATATGTAACTAATAAGCTTGTGCCGGAGGCCCCGGGGGAACAGGCGTCTATGAAGTCTCCTGGTCAATCCCCAATTGGCGGAGCCAGGAGATTGAATCTCTACCCTCAGGGCTCCTCCAGAAACAACGAAAAGCCACTACGGATGGCCACGTGGAATGTTCGAACACTCACTGCAGAGGAGAGGCTGCCACTCCTCTGTCGGGAGCTGGACCGGTACCGCCTGGATCTCTGTGGCATTCAGGAGGTCCGGTGGACCGGTTCTGGCTCCTGCCACCATGAGGGGTGGACAGTCCTCTACTCAGGGCAGCAGACTGCCAAACAGCAGGGTGTGGCTCTTCTTTTGAACAAAAGAATTAAGGGGGCGTGGGAGCGTGGCGGTGAGGTGTGGGAAGCTGTAAGCCCCCGGCTACTTTGGGCTCGCCTTCCCATCAACCGGAGGCGAGTGGTGGTCATGGTTACTTATGCCCCCACCGAAGTCGAACATCCGTGGAGGGATGCAGGCAAAGCCGATGAGTCAGATGCCTTCCATGACCTCCTGTCACAGGTGCTGGCTAAAGTGGCCCCTCGGGATAGAGTCATCTTGTTGGGTGACTTCAATGCCAGAGTTGGTAATGATGTTGGCACCTGGTCTGGAGTGATTGGAGGGCATGGGCCAGATCAGCTCAATAACAACGGTAGGAGGCTACTAGATTTTTGTGCAGCCCATGGGCTTGTAATTACCAACACGCTGTTCTGGCATCGGCGCATCCACACAACATCATGGATGCATGCCGGGTCCAAGCAAGAACATCTGCTGGACTACATAGTGACAGACCAGCGGATGCGAGCCCATGTGCTTGACACCAGGACCTACCGTGGAGCTGATCTGCCCTCTGACCATCGACTAATCATCTGTAAAATGCGCCTGCCATTCTTTCACTCCGGTGGTGGGTGTACACCCACGACCCCATTCCAACCTAAAGTGGCCTGGTCTCAGTTATCTGATGAAAGTTGCAAGAGAGAATTTCATCATCGCTTGCGGCTGGGGTTGGCATCGTCCCCCACTCCTCCTGATGTCGAGGGTAAATGGGCGAGGTTTAGGACTGTGACTCATGCAGCTGCAATGGCTGCTTTGGGTACGCGGTCCAGACCTCCCCAGAGACCCTGGCTGACAGAGGAGGCGTTTAGGATGGTTGAGAAAAAGCGACAGGCCCACTGTCATCAGCTACAGAATCCCACGTCAGAGAATGAGGAGGCTTACCGCAGCCTTCGCTCGGAGGTTCGGAGAGCCGTGAGGAGCTGCAAGGATGGGTGGTGGTCGCGGGTTGCTGAGGAGATGGAGTCTGCCTCAGTGGCCCGTGATCACAAATCTCCATTTAACTCCATCAAAAAAGTAACCTGCAGCACCACACCTATTACCATCATTAAGGGAAAAAACGGTGATCCAATCTCTGACCCCCATGAACAGGTTTGCAGATTTGCTGAGCATTTCTGTGAAGTTCTGGGGGAAGGGAAATCCCTCAGCCAGGAAAACATCGTGGAACAAAGTGGGGTTGACCCTGTTGAGGCTGCAGTGCCTCAAATATTGGAAGTCACCCCCTGTGAGTGGCTGGCTGAGGTGCCATCTGTTGAGGACGTACTGAAGGCGATCTGGAGTCTGAGACCAGGAAAGACACCGGGTAGAGATGATCTCTCAAGCGAAATGCTGAGAGAGGGTGGCATTTGTGCACAGACTGCCCTATATGACATCATAACAACAATCTGGACCAGTGGACGAGTTCCGCAGGATTGGAAGGATGCCCTGGTGGTCCCCCTCTTTAAGAAGGGGGACCGCACAGACTGTAACAACTACAGGGGCATCTCACTCCTCAGTGTGCCGGGAAAGGTCCTGGCAAGGATTATTCAACATCGCCTTGCCAGGCACGCTGAGGAGAGGCTTGCGGAGCCCCAATGCGGTTTCAGGAAAGGGCGGTCCTGCACAGATGCCATATTTTTTGTCCGTCTGCTACAGCAGAGGCGTAGGGAATTCCAACAAGACCTACATCTCTGCTTTATTGACCTGGTCAAGGCCTATGATACCATCAGTAGGCCTAGGCTCTGGGTTGTTCTTCGTGCTTTTGGAGTCCCTGACCCTCTGCTCACGATCATTAAGGACCTTCATGATGGTGAGCGGGCCCGGGTAAAACTACGTGGCCGGGAGTCAGAGCCATTCCCTGTACACCTTGGGGTGCGACAGGGATGTCCTCTGGCTCCCACATTATTTAACATCTATTTTGACCATGTAGTTCATGAAGCCTTCAATAGCTGTACCGGGGGAATCTCCATTTGGTACAGATATAATGAGAGGCTGATCGATGCCCAGGTGCGGTCAAGGGATGGCTCCCTATTGCTCAACCACGTTATGTATGCCGATGATTTGGTAATAGCTGCTCATTCAGAGGCGGGGTTGGAGACGCTGCTGCTGAGACTGGAGCGTGCCACTAAGAGATGGGGCCTTACCATCAGCCCCACCAAAACTAAGCACCTGCCTGGGTATTTTGTATCATCGGACACTCCATCCCCACAACTCCCAATCAGTGATGGGGCAGTTGTGGAGAGAGTGGAGAGTTTCCCATACCTGGGCAGTGTGCTTATGACCGGCTCCAGTTTAACAGCAGAGGTCTCACTCCGAATCAGTCGAGCGGCAATATCTTTTCATCGGTTGCGTAACGCTATGTGGAAACTACCTGGTCTGTCGCTCCGCACTAAGCTTCAGGTCTTCTCGGCCACGGTCATTCCCTCCCTTCTCTACGCTTGCGAAACGTGGACCCCCTTAATGGAGCATCTTCGCCGGTTGGAAACATTTAGGCTGGCCTGCCTACGATCCATCCTGGGGTTAACCAGGCTAGATTGTGTGAGGAGCTCACATATCCTTGAAAGATCTGGGCAAAGTCCCATCGGTGAGCTCCTCCGGCGGGCAAGGCTGCGTTGGCTGGGTCATGTAGCCCGCATGCCCAGCCACCGCATGCCGAAACAGCTTTTGTTCGGCCGGATCGAGGAGGCTAGACGGGCGCGGCACGGGCTAGAGAAGAGATGGAGTGATGTGGTACAGGAGGACGTGGAGCTGAGTGGACTTGCCAATGACTGGTACCAGCGGTGTCAAGATCGGCCTCTGTGGAGGAGGCTCGTGAAGGACGCTTCTGGGCAGTTGGAGGCAGTCGCCCTCCAACAGCAACAGAGGGCGGAGGAGCGACGCTCACAACAACGAGCGGAGCGCCGGGTGGCTAAAGCACAGCAGGTTGGCACAGTAGGGGGCACAGGTGGTGCATCAGCCAGTCATCTCAGTCATCTGAGTCAGTCGACCCGTGGCACTTGGGTCTGCCCCGTGACCTCCTGCCAGCGGGCGTTCGACACTTCACGTTGCCTCAAGGTGCACATGGCCTGGCATAAGCGTCGTGGTGACATCACCGCCACTTAGTGGCGAATGGCGGTTGGTGTGTGTGTGTTGGTGTGTGTGTTGGTGTGTGTGTTTGTTGGTGTGTGTGTTGGTGTGTGTGTGTTGGTGTGTGTGTTTGTTGGTGTGTGTGTTGGTGTGTGTGTGTTGGTGTGTGTGTGTGTTGGTGTGTGTGTTGGTGTGTGTGTGTGTTGGTGTGTGTGTTGGTGTGTGTGTGTGTGCGTTACCCTGAGGGTGCAGGGCGAGGCGGGCGCGTGTTGCTCTGAGACGCGTGGTGCTGACGAGACGCCTTGTGCATCACCTCATACAGCTGCTTACTCAGCTACAAAGACAAAAACAAAGATCCCCCCTGTAGCCTTTGAACAGACTGCTGGGGCAAGAGCAACTATGAAGGCCGGCACGGCAAACTCAGCTAAAACACACACACACACATACGGACACACACACACATGGACACAACCACGGACACACACACACACACGGAAATATACAAAGATATGCATGCACAGATGCACAGATACAGACAGCGATGAACACAATCATACTCAGACTGCAGGGAAGATGAAGATGATGCAGTGGAGTGACAGGTGATGATTATTTATAAACTATAATGATGACTATGAAATGGAATTAATATTAGGCAATGGAGTGATGACGATGGTGATTACGGTGATGACAATGATGATGCGGATGATGATGATGATGCGGATGATGATGATGCAGATGATGATGATGATGCAGATGATGATGATTATGATGATTACGGTGATAACAATGATGATGCGGATGATGATGATGATGCAGATGATGATGATGATGCGGATGATGATGATGATGCGGATGATAATGTGGATGATGCGGATGATTGCCTCCTACCTTGCTCAGCTCTCTATACACATTCTCTTCCACACCAGCCATGCTTTGCAGAGTGTTCACGTACACACCGACACGACTGCAACGACAAAGTCAAATATTCCTCCGTGTAGCCTTAACAGAATGTTGGGGCAAGTGCTGTTAGCGTGCATACGAGGAGGTGGGTGGCCAGCACCACCCCAGCCGCCTTTGTCTCCTTAGTGGCATACAACAACCACCATTCGCCACTAAGTGTTGGTGATGTCACCACGGTGCTTGTGCCAGGCTATGTGCACGTTAAGACCACGTGAAGTGTCAAACGCCCGATGGCAAGAGGTCACACGGGACAGACCCAGATGCCATGGGTCGACTGACTGAGATGGCTGGCCGATGCACCACCTGTGCCCCCTACTGTGCCAACTTGCTGTGTTTTAGCCACCCGGCGCTCCGCTCGTTGTTGTGAGCGTCACTCCTCTGCCCTCCGTTGTTGCTGGAGGGCGACTGCCTCCAACTGCCCAGCAGCAGCAGCGTCCTTCACGAGCCTCCTCCACAGAGGCCGATCTTGACACCACTGGTACCGGTCATCGGCAAGTTAGTGGCACACACACACACACACACGCATGCGCGGGCGGGAACGGGAAATGGGTCGTAGGGTCACAGCACGACAGGAAGAGGATGATCGTGGTTGTTGTCTCCACCTGGTAAACAACGCCGGCAGCTCGTCCTGGAGCTCCGAGTTGATCTCTTCGAAGACTCGCTGAGCCTTCTGCAAGTCCTCCTCAGCCTGGAACGAGCAACAGCAGTGCACCTCGTCACGAAGGTGCAGGCAAAGGGCGCAGCCCTGCAACTGCTCCTTCGCGCAGCGGCTGGCGGAAGAGCGTCCTGCTTGGAGGCGGCTCTGGAGATCCCCCTCTAGGCGGTACTTTGGCCTGTTCCTTGAGACATTTTGGAAGAGGTGGGAGTTACCCACACTTTACCCCACTGCACGCGACCGGCCGATCGAGTGTTGGTTGAGCCCAATTACACGCTGGGTGGAGGGGGGGGGGTATTTAATAAACTTGCACCGTCGTGCTGTTAGCGAGCACCTATTAAGGCCGGCACGGCGCACGAGGGCGTGTGTGGCCAGCACCACACCCAGCCACTTTTGTCCCGCAATCCTGATGTTCACACACCACGGCAGGCACTCATTTAAGGCTGAGTCTACCTAGGGGAGGCGCAGGGCCGGTTCAGATAATCGTCACTGGTGTTGGTGGCCGTGAGCGGGAATCAAACTCGGGTCACGGGGTATGTAGCGTGTCGCACTCGCCGCTGCGTCGCTGCACTACCGCTCCCCCCTGCGTCATACACGGACAGACGCACAGAAAACCAGGACCTTGTGAATGTCGTGGCATGCCGTGGTCTCCTTTCCTGTCTAGCCCCTGTGATTGCGACACATGCACATCTTGCCAAAGCTGCCAAAGATTAGCACGGTTGGCTACGAAAGAAGTTCAACATACATACAAAGTCCATCTCCTTGGCATTTGACGCAAATACATCCCTGTCTGTTTATATCTTTGTACAACAGGCAACCGACATCTGTTTCATGTGTCTGTACCTGCATTTTTACTGTGCTATCATCGGTCTGAAAATAATCTGCCACGAGCCAACTTACACTTACAGGGACTATTAGTATTTAACACCGATTTATATTTTTAGCGAAAGGTGTTTAATTTCTCACGCGAAACAAAAGGCCGACTTTGTTGCGTTTCGCTATTCGCTTCATTGCCGCAACTTTAATTCGCTCTCCTTCTTGCCACTTCTTTGACCCAGGGTCGCTTCACTCGAGCGCGACCCCTCCCGGTCGTGCGTCCTCACGTGACAACGCGAATAAAAAGCGAAACCTAAAACTGACCTCGCTCGCTCGCTCGCTCGCTCGTTCGTTCGCTTGCTCTCTCGCCGTCTCGACCGCTTACCCACTCGCCCACCTACAACGATGTCACTGTCGGCGCCGGTGGCGGTGAGAGTCGCGCCGGCAAGCTTTGCGAATGCCTTTATTTGTTCATGGTGAAGGTTTCTTGGGTTGGATTGCGTAAATGTGAACGTGCCGTTAACCCCGCCACCACGCGACACGGCCAATTAGGAAGGTTTGTTGGTTACTACTTCAGCACACCGGTGTGTTGGAGAGTAAGCCCACAAGATTGACTATTTTACTCTCCAACACATCGGTGTGCTGAACTCGTAAGTAATTGGCACGTTTTGTTTACGTGACAAAGCTTACTAATTGGCCATGCCAGGTGGCAATGGGTTAACGACATATTTATATTTACCTGATCTAACCCAAAAAAAAAACCTTTATCCCAAATGATATTGGTTCGCGAAAGCCTACTGCGTGTTAAACCGTTTTGTTTGTTCGTTAATTATTCACCGAGGCCCCACCGAGGCCCCACCGAGGCGCCCCCCCCCACCCCCCACCTTGGATATCTTGGCCTCGTCACGCTTCTTGCCGGCCTGCAGGGCCTGCAGGTGATGCCGGGCTCCGTCGACATCCACCAGCTTGCGCGCCCGTTTCGACATCCTGGCCTAAGCCGCACGCAAACACCGAGGGAGACGCCCGTGCCAAGCCCGTTAAGCCCCCTCTAACCGGACAAACGGGAGCTGCTTTGAGCGTGCGGTGGCCGGGCACGCGCGACACGTGACCCAGCCAACGCAGCCTCGCCCGCCGGAGGAGCTCGCCGATGGGACGGTGTCCAGATCGTTCGAGAATCTGTGAGCTCCTCGTGCTGGTTAAACCCAGGATGTCTCGAGCCGCCACGCCGCGTTCCTCAAAAAGGGGGTCGCGCATTTCGCAATGCGCAGATAAGAGAGGGCATAATTGTTGCCAAATAAACTCGGAGCTTCGCCACAGCTTCCTCACCGGCGTTGCAGTGTCGCCGGCGAGACAATGCCACCCCGCCGACTGAGTATGGGCTCACTGCCCATGTATGGGGAAACTCCACCACCCCCCTCTCTACAACCACACTCCGTTACTCATGCAGAGTCGAGGGGTCGGAATGTCGAATGCCACAAAGTGTCCAGCCAGGTGATTTGTTTTGGCGAGGTTGATGGTAAGGGTCCATCTCTTAGCGGTGCAACCCAGGTTCGGAAAACAAAATCTGCAACGGCTTTTCAGAGCGAGCTGCAATTTACCGGTTCATCAGCATACATAACACGGCTCATCAGCATACATAACACGGCTCATCAGCATACATAACACGGCTCATCAGCATACATAACACGGCTCATCAGCATACATAACACGGCTCATCAGCATACATAACACGGTTCATCAGCATACATAACACGGTTCATCAGCATACATAACACGGCTCATCAGCATACATAACACAGCTCATCAGCATACATAACACGGCTCATCAGCATACATAACACGGCTCATCAGCATACATAACACGGCTCATCAGCATACATAACACGGTTCATCAGCATACATAACACGGTTCATCAGCATACATAACACGGTTCATCAGCATACATAACACGGTTCATCAGCATACATAACACGGTTCATCAACATACATAACACGGTTCATCAGCATACATAACACGGTTCATCAGCATACATAACACGGTTCATCAGCAAGAGAGCCATCCCACGACTGCACCCGGGTATCGATCAGCCTCCCACTGTACCCGTGCCAGATGGAAATTCCATTGGCAGAGCCACGGAAAGCTTCTTTAACTGTGGTTGAAAAAAAACCAAGTTAAATAGTCCAGGGGCCAGAGGACATCCTTGTCGCACCCCAAGGCAAACAGAGAATGGCTCCGACTCCCAGAAGAAAATCAATGATCACGCGCAGCACTCACTCATGCACACATTCTCACACATACACACACAGCCATACACGCATGCTGCCTCTCTCTCGCTCTCACACACACACACAAAGATTCCATGTATAGCCTTAGCAGACTGTTGGAGCAAGTGCTGTTCGCGAGTACCTATGGAAACCAGCACGGCACACGAGGGGGTGGGTGGCCAACACCACGGCCGGCCGCCTTTGTCTCCCTAGCGGCGACGTTTACGCACCGCACCAGGTACTCATTTGAGGCTGAGTCGACCTAGGGGAGGCCCATGACCGGTTGAGATAATCATCACCGACGTTGGTCGCGAGCGGGAATCGAACTCGGCTCGGCGGATTCGTGGCGTGGTGGCGGTGCGCTAACCGCTGCACCACCGCTCCCAGCGCGCCGCCTGATGTGGAGGGACAGATACTCTAAACAACTTTTTTATTTTACCGGGTAAAGGCACACCGAGCTATATAGATGTTTTTTTGAGAAGCGACCAGTAGCCAAACACTCTTAAGCAAACACTCCCTAGATGAGTGAGGACGGCATATCATGTATCCGCTTATAGTCATTATGCAACTATAATTCATGCACTGCTCGATACGAGGCGAGGGAGAAGCGGTGAGAAGACCACGGACGCTCACGGACGGGCACCTTGACGTCGCCGAACGGAGCCTGGTGGGTCTCCAGAGCGGGCAGGGTCTGGTCCCAGAGCTTCTGATGGTAGTCCTCCCATAGCAGCTCCGTGGTCTGCGCGCAAAGACGAGATCATTGTCGTCATCGTCGTCATCGTCAACATCGTCACCGTCGTCAACATCGTCATCGTCGCCATTGCCATCATCATCGTCGTCATCGTCATAATCATCGTCAACATCGTCACCGTCGTCAACATCGTCATCGTCGTCACTATCATCATCATCGTCGTCATCGTCATAATCATCGTCAACATCGTCACCGTCGTCAACATCGTCAACGTCATCATCATGGTCATCATCATCGTCATCGTCACCGTCGCGACCTTCGCAGCCATCGCTGACGTCATCGTTATTATCACCATCGTCATGATGGGTTTTGTGTTTGTTCTCATGTTCGCCACAAGTACGTGTGGTCGATGCAGACGGGATTCCTTGCAAAAGGTCTAACATCTTAACACCTACATTTTCATTTAAAGCTTTCGTGACTGCAGGGATTCATATTCTTGGTTCTTTCGGTAAAGTCACGTGACTTTACCGAAAGAACCAAGAATATGAATATCTTAACACCTGGTTTATTGCCAGAAAGGATCAAACCTTTTCTCACATCGTCAATCTTGATTTGTTCAAAGCTAGCCTATCGCTCATCTCAGAGAGGATGAGACTGCTCCGTTTTGAACTTGACAATGTAGCGGGTTCAGCAGTTACACTGCTGGATTATTATTTTCCCACCTGAGGACGACCCGCTTGTGTTGCGATCGAAACGTCGTGATTTATTTTTCTACCTACGTGACTTTGCCGAAAGAACCAAAGAGTATGTTCTTGTATCGTCGTCATCGCCCTGATCGTCGCCATGCCCTGGTGACCACCGCGAGGTGCATTCACCGTACGAACGCGGCGCGCCGTCCACTCCGCTCACAGCGGTGGACGCTGGAGATCCCGTGACGTCGTCTAGAAACAGGTCGAGGGTCTGTGTTGCGTGACTGCGTCATGGCCCAAACTGGGCAAATTTGAACGTTGAGCTAAGAAATACTCGATTGGGATTACACGCAGCAGCAAAACTCTGTGAAAGTGTCCTTTGTCATAGCCTTGCACAATAAGCATGCCGCGGATACCAAATGTGCTAATGATTTTACTTACTGATCATCATCAGCAGTGGTAGCAGCAGCAGTTGCAGCAGCAGCAATAGTAGCAGCAGCAATAGTAGCGGCAGTAGCAGCGGCAGCAGACTTTAGACATAGCTAGAAATGTATATTCTTTGGTTCTTTCGGTAAAGTCACGTAGATAGAAAAATAATAAAAATAAATGAACTGAATAAAAATAATAAAATAAAACACTAGTATAAACTCTAGCCTGGTTCTTAACCTCGGTGAGCATACTGGCAGTCTATAATGTAGACTGTAGCCTGGTTCTTAAACTGAGTGAGCGTACTGGCAGTCTACAATGAAGACTTATTCTCAGTTATTTCAGATTCAGGTTAAGAACCAGGCTACAGTCTACATTATAGACTGCCAGTACACTCACCAAACTTAATAACCCGGCTACAGTCTACATTATAGACTGCCAGTACACTCACAAAACTTAATAACCAGGCTACAGTCTACATTATAGACTGCCAGTACACTCACCAAACTTAATAACCAGGCTACAGTCTACATTATAGACTGCCAGTACACTCACTCTGATTAAGAACCAGGCTACAGTTTACATTAGTGTTTTATTTTATATTATTTTTATTTACTTTATTTTTATTATATATTTTTTTTCTATCTACGTGACTTTACCGAAAGAACCAGAGAATATGAATTCCTGCAGTCACGAAAGTTTTAAGTCAAAATCCAGAAATGTAACCCAGGTTACTGGATTCATAGCGCAATGCGCCAACCACTGCACTGTCACTGTTGTTATGCGAGAGGTTTTTTTTAAAAAAACAGCATTTGAGGTATGTGCAATGTCAAAGGAATGGGCTTACAAGATAAACGTGTGCTCTTCGAAACACAAATTCTGGGAACCTCATGGCAGGGCACGTAAACAACTTGGACATTTGTAACAGCAAGTGGCAGGAACGTGTTGTTGATATAATCAGGAGGAGGAGGAGGTTGTGATGGGCGGGACACGTGGTGTGCTGGGTGGGGGAGGAAAGTTGGCGACCGAGGAGAAGATTGAGAGTGGTGGTGGTGGTGATACTGTACGAGCGGTACTTGAGGCATGTGTCATCTGCAACAAGGCGAAGACCCTAATGCAGATGAGAGTGTTGGCTGAAAGAGTGCAAGATCGAACCTTGAAAGGTCAAGTGTCAACGTGACAAACAAGCACGGGATCCGGCCGAAGGAAGCAAGCAACTGTGGGGCGCGGTGACATCATCATTGGAAGTGGCCACGATGACCTTTTGACCTTGACCTGATGAATGTGCTAAAGTGGCAGTGCGCTCCGCATACCTCGGCGATGCAGCTGAGTGTTTCGCGCTCGGGCCAATCCTCCTCGCTCAGCAGCAGCAACGACTCCCAGAGACGGCCGCTCGATTCGTGCAGCGCTGCTCACACATCGCACACACACACACGCGGACCGTCGACTTGCACAGAGACCCATCGACTTGCATAGAGACCCATCGACTTGCATAGAGACCCATCGACTTGCACAGAGACCCATCAACACACACGCGGACCGTCGACTTGCACAGAGACCCATCGACATGCAAAGAAGCCCATCGCCTTGCATAGAGACCCATCGACTCGTATAGAGACCCATCGACTCGCACAGAGACCCATCGACTTGCATAGAGACCCATCAACTCGCATAGAGACCCATCGACTTGCATAGAGACCCATCGACTTGCATAGAGACCCATCAACTCGCATAGAGACCCATCGACTTGCATAGAGACCCATCAACTCGCATAGAGACCCATCGACTTGCACGGAGACCCATCGACTTGCACGGAGACCCATCGACTTGCATAGAGACCCATCAACTCGCATAGAGACCCATCGACTTGCACAGAGACCCATCGACTTGCATAGAGACCCATCAACTCGCACAGAGACCCATCGAGTTGCACAGAGACCCATCGACTTGCACAGAGACCCATCGACTCGCATAGAGACCCATGGACTTGCACAGAGACCCATCGACTCGCATAGAGACCCATCGACTTGCACAGAGACCCATCGACTTGCACAGAGACCCATCGACTTGCACAGAGACCCATCGACTTGCAAAGAAGCCCATCGACTTGCACAGAGACCCATCGACTCGCATAGAGACCCATCGACTTGCATAGAGACCCATCGACTTGCACGGAGACCCATCGACTTGCACAGAGATCCATCGACTTGCATAGAGACCCATCGACTTGCACAGAGACCCATCGACTTGCACAGAGACCCATCGACTTGCACGGAGAGCCATCGACTTGCACAGAGACCCATCGACTCGCATAGAGACCCATCGACTCGCATAGAGACCCATCGACTCGCACAGAGACCCATCGACTTGCACAGAGACCCATCGACTTGCACAGAGACCCATCGACTTGCACAGAGACCCATCGACTTGCATAGAGACCCATCGACTCGCATAGAGACCCATCGACTTGCACAGAGACCCATCGACTTGCACAGAGACCCATCGACTTGCACAGAGACCTATCGACTTGCACAGAGACCCATCGACTTGCATAGAGACCCATCGACTTGCACAGAGACCCATCAACTCGCATAGAGACCCATCGACTTGCACAGAGACTCATCGACTTGCACAGAGACCCATCGACTTGCACAGAGACCCATCGACTTGCATAGCGACGCATCGACTTGCATCGAGATCCATCGACTTGCATAGAGACCTATCGACTTGCACAGAGACTCACATACTTATATAGAAACCCAAATACCCCTCTTCCACTGGCACATCCGAACCGAGCCAGTGCAGTATCCTCACGGTACGGGTTTTGTTTCCACCGGCTACTTGCCGTGCTGAGCCGGAGCCAAAACAGTGTGATGCTGGCATCGCCAAGAAATCGGATTGTGGATCGGGGGGGCCAAGCAGGGCCGGGGTGCGGTGCTGATGTCGCGTTCGTTTCGCGCCCCGTCAGTCGGTAAAACTCGAGCGCTTTGGTGAAAAGGCGTCGATTGCCTCAACAGTGAACCCTAAGAATCCCAGATGTATATTCTTAGTTCTTTCGGTAAAGTCACGTTGAAGGGAAACAACAAAATAATAAAATATATATAAAACAATAACAATTCTCACGACGTTTCGACCATAACACAAACGGTCGTCTTCAGGTGTGTTATGGTCGAAACGTCGTGAGAATTTTTATTGATTTATATATATTTTATTATTTTGTTGTTTCCCTTCAACGTGACTTTACCGAAAGAACTAAGCATATGAATTACTGCAGTCACGAAAGCTTTAAATGAAAATCCCAGATGTGTTTCCGCCTGGCTCGTTGCGAGCTCCTCGTGTAATACGGCGTAAAAGTGAAACTGCAATTTCCTCTGTTGGCTGTGACAGTGGCAGGCCTGCGATGACTGCCTGGCTACGTGAGAACCCCACTCATAGAGGCGTTGTGTGCGTGCGGTTGTGTGTTGCCACGGTAGGCGGCAAAGGTGGTGCATCTGACAGTCATCTCGGTCAGTCAGGCCACTTCACGTGGCCTCAAAGTGCACCTAGCCTGGCACAGGCGCCGCGGTGACGTCACCGCCATTTGGTGGCGAATGGCGTTTGTTGTTGTGTTACGGGGAACACCTGGTGCGGTGTGTAAACATCGCCACTAGGGAGACAAAGGCGGCCGGGTGTGGTGCTGGCCACCAACCCATCGTGTGCCCGGCTGGCCTTCACAGGTGCTCGCTAATAGCACTTGCCCCAACAGTCTGCATGAGCTCAACGGCCACTCCCGGTGACGATCATCTGAACCGGCCCTCGGCACCCCCTAGGTCGACTCAGCCTCAAATGAGTGCCTAGTGTAGTGTTTGATTATCAACACTGGAGAGACAAAGGAGGCCGGGGTGTGGTGGTGCTAGCCACCAACAAACTCGTGTGCCCATGTACCGGGCCTTCATAGGTCCCTGCGAAGAGCACTTGCCCCAACAGTCTGTTGAAGGCTACATGACGAGGGTGGGCTGGGGTGGAGTGGGGTGGGGGGGGGGATTTGCGCATTTGTTTGTGAATACGAGCTGCCCCGAGTGCGCCGTGACCGCAGCGAGTCGTGGAGGCGAAGCAAGCTTGAGCCGCATGGGGGCGAGTGCTCGCCTGGGTCTTGCGTGCTCGGGGTACGATGTGGCATCGCGAAGGTGGCAGCACCAGCGATGGATTCCCGAATCCGTCGCGGGTGCTGCCGTCAGCAAACGGATTCCATTTGCCGTGCAGAGTTTGGCGCGCAGTTTTTTTTCCCGCAAACTTATCGGGGCACTCCGGTTTCTTCCCACGTGAGGCCACACAATTGATAACGGAATTGGGCAAACAAGGGAATGCAGAACCCTCACGAGAGAGAGAGAGAGTTTTCAGACTCAGTAGATACATCGAGGGCACTATGATTATAATTATTGTTATGCCGGTCATGTGTCTCATCATCTCACCTTTGATAGAGGCCAGGTAAGCCCGGAGGTCCCTGTTCAGTCTGCTGCTCTCTGTCTGTAATGGACCACAGCATCAGGATGTGCTCATAAATGCCCTCTTGCCTGGAAACTCGGAGAAATTGCTTGTGTACGTATTCACGTGTGTGTACGTTTGTGTGTCTTTGTGGGGGGTGAGGGAGGGGGTGGTGTTTAGCCGCCCGGCGCTCCGCTCGTTGTTGTGAGCGCCGCTTTTCTGCCCTCCGTTGTTGCCGGAGGGCGGCTGCCTCCGAGTGCTCGGCGGCAGCGTCCTTCACGGTCCTCCGCCTCCTCCACAGAGGCCGATTTTGTCTGACACCGCCGGTGACGGCCATCGGCGAGTCCCGATCGCGCGCTCACACACACGGTTACCTGTTGTTGTGCAAAGTTCTGTGCCAGCTGCTCAAACTGCTCGTCCCTCGTCTCGTCGGCCTTGCCAAGTCTTTGCAAAACCTTCCACCGGGGGGGGTGAAACATGATGGGTTATTAGGAGAGTGGCGACTGAGAGCGACGATTGAGAGTCAGAGATCGAGTGGGATTTATGCTCGAAAGGAGTGCACCAGGGGGGATTGAGTGGTGGTGAGATGTGGAGTGGTGGTGGCACGTGGAGTGGTGGTGGATGGAGTGATGTGGTACAGGAGGATGTGGAGCTGAGTGGACTTGCCAATGACTGGTACCAGCGGTGTCAAGATCGGCCTCTGTAGAGGAGGCTCGTGAATGACGCTACTGGGCAGTTGGAGGCAGTCGCCCTCCAACAACAATGGAGGGCGGAGGAGCGATGATCACAACAACGAGCGGAGCGCCGGGTGGCTAAAGCACAGCAAGTTGGCACAGTAGGGGGCACAGGTGGTGCATCAGCCAGTAGTCTCAGTCAGTCGACCCATGGCACCTGGGTCTGCCCCGTGACCTCCTGCCAGCGGGCGTTCGACACTACACTTCACGTGGCCTCAAGGAGCACATAGCCTGGCACAAGCGTCGTGGTGACGTCACCGCCACTTAGTGGCGAATGGCGGTTGTTGTTATTGTTGGTGGTGGATGTGGTGGTGGTGGTTAATAGTGGGTAGTGGTGGTACAGTGTGCAGCGGTCGTGAGCGGCGTGGTTGGGAAGTGGTGAATGTTGCGTACCGGTTGGCGAGTGGCGAGTGGCAGTTATCAGTTGTACCTGGTGAGCGGTGGCGAGTGGTGGCGAGTGATGTCAGACAGTTGGTGACATCGGCTGTGGATTGTGAGCGGTGCTGTCAGTGGTTAGCACAATCCACGGGTGGCAAATATAAAACCCGAGTCGTGAGTGATAAGCGTCAGACGCTGGCGAACATCGGTTGTGGCTGGTGTGGGCAGTGAGCGGTGAGCAATGGCACTGGCGTTCAGTGCTGTTTGCTGTGGTCACTACAGGTGGTACGATAACTACTGCGGCCAGCAACACAGTCTACATTTGTAGCGCCACGGTGGCTAGGAGATGTTAACTGCCTCGCCTGGTACACAGGAGGTCGTGGGTTCGATGCAGACCCTGACGCCTGCTGTATATTTAGAGTTTGCGTGTCTCTCTCATCATCATCACGGTGGCTAGGAGATGTTAAGTACCTCGCCTGGTATGCAGGAGGTCGTGGGTTCGATCCAAACCCTGACGCCTGCTGAATATTTGGAGTTTGCGTATCTCTCTCCCCTGGTCACGTGGATTTTTCTCCGGGTCCTCTGATTATTCTCTCCACATTTTGAAACGCGTTTAGAGTATTTGGCTGCTATAAATTTCCACGTGACAAGCCACTCCGTTGAGCCATCGCTTGTGGTGGCCAGGTCGCTTCTGAAAAAGATCTACATAGCTCAGTGTGCCTTACCTGATAAAATAAAAACATAAAAAATTTAGTTTAGTGCTGTGCTCAGGCCCTTTCCTCATGCAGGAATGTTTGTGTGTTTTACGGCCTTGAACCGCCACTCTTATTAAATTCTCCACCCCATGCGGTGTGCCGGGCCGTGCTGACTCGGCCAGTTGGAACGACCGACCCAGAGAAAAATAAGATAACAAACACGCCCATTGTTGGTGCCCACTCCCAACGACTTTCGCCGTCTGAATCATCATTTATCGTCACGACCCACATCGTTCGGCGGCCGTATCGCGACGCCCACGGTGGTGCAGCATCACGGGAGGCAGGGTGAAGCAGGCTGAGCATTTCAGATAATCGCCCCGGCAAAGAAGTAACGACCCAATCCCGCACCGCTCTGAGACACGTAACGTCGCGTCGGCAATATGCCGCGGCCAAACGAGAATTAACTAAATTGAAGAAAAAAAAACGAAAGGTGGACTGGTAATTGGGAGACTACACTCTCTCGTTTGAATCGAACAACTTTGAGATTCGTGAATTTCAGGATTGTGGTGGGGTGGTTGCTAAAAAGCAACGCAATAAGAACACAACGACACACCAACGACGATAATCACCACCGCTCCATAAACCCATAATCGCCGGCCCGCGAACGAACCGCGGTGCAGTGAAAGAATTTGCGAGTTGACCCGCAGCCAAGTCGGCACAATTCAAGGCATGCGGATAGCCCCAGGGCCAGCAAGCTCTGACCCCCCTCTCCCACTCTTCTTCCCTCCCTCCCCATCTCTCCCTCTCGCCCACTCTCGCTTGTCATCTCTGCCACTCTCCATCCCCATCTTCCGCTCCCACTCTCCCTCCCCATCCCTCCATCTCTCCCCACTCTCCCTTCCAATCACTCCCACTCACCCCTCCCCATCTCTCTTTCCATCCACACCCCCCTCTCTCTCGCTCTCTGGGCGCAGTGTTTTTTGCTTTATATCTGCGAAGCCAGAAGCCAGGGCCCCATCCTTTCGTGTCAATCACGCCCATTCGCCACGCTCGCCTCTGAATGGTTTATTTATTATTATTTTTAGGGAGAGGCGCCCAGAACAATGAATTTATTTACAAGAAATTCAAGTTACAGCTCTTTCCAGTGGACTGCGAAAATACTTGCTCCCCCCCCCGTGTCATAAGAATGTGGAATTTCCAGAACGGACATACAGGTAAATCAGTTGTTGCCCAATCTGATGGAATATGAATATACTTGCCACCGTCGTAGGAATGTGGAATTGCTACAAATGTTACTGCAGGAAATTCAGCACCTTTTTTTGTCCCATGGACTTTGGAAAATACTGACTCTCTGTCATAGGAATGTGGAATTTCCAGCAATGGCTCGGGGCGGCCAAATTAATGACCCCTCCCACGCCGCCCGTTTAAGCTGGGAGACAATTACAAGAGTTAAAGGCGCAGCCCTGCAATTGCGTCCTCACATCACTGGCGGTGGAAAGGCTACTTGGGGGGATATTTGGCCTACTCTTTCGCGTTGGTCAGGTGTCTTGGAAGAGGTCGGAGTTACCCACACTTTGCCGCATCTCACGCGGCGTGCCGATCGACTGACTGTGGCGGTATAACCATTCATGCCGCTCATTCGACTGCCGCGCCGGGAAATCGAACGGGCACCCCCTCGCTTAAAAGGAAAAAAAATATTTATAAAGGTGACGTTTCGGGCCATAGCCTTTATGCCATGTACATTTTAAAACAGGAATCGGGAAAATATATGTAGCTTTGGCTTATGAAAAAAGTTGTGATGCATCGTTCTGTCGCTCTGGGCAATCCAGCTCAGGGTGGTGGTTGGTGAGCAATCTCTTTTTGGAGTTGTGTAATGGAAATTCCACGTGTCTCTGGGCGGGGACAGTAGGCCCGGCCTGACCACAATGCTCCATGAACCAGACGCGGAAACAGAAGCACATTTACACACACAGGATGCGTGACCACCCAATGACATCATGATCATACAATGACAACGTTGATGACACACACCCCCCCCACATATCGATACAAAATTCATAGACGTGTGTGTGCGTCCACATGTACACGTGATTCCTACATATACCCATCGTGTTCGTACGAGCAACCATATATACAAACCCCCTTCGCCCCCTCCAACACACACACACCAACACACAAAGATCAACTTAACATACTGTAGGAGCAAGTGCTATTAGCGAGCACTTATGAAGGCCGGAACGGTACACGAGGGGGTGGGTGGCCAGCACCACGCCCGACCGCCTTTGTCTCCCCAGTGGCGATGTTTACACACCGTACCAGGGTCTAATTTTGAGGCTGAGTCGACCTAGGGGAGGCCCAGGACCGGTTCAGATAATCGTCACCGGGGTTGGCCGTGAGCGGGAATGAAACTCGGGTCACCGGGTTCGTAGCGCACTGTGCACTGATACACAAAGACAAAGTTCCCCCATATAGGCCACGTAGACTGTTGGGTCAAGTGTTAAGTTAGGACCGGAACGGGACACGAGACGGTGGCGTGGTCGCCATCGCCCTCGGCCGCCTTTGTCTCCCCGGTGCTGATGTGTCCACGCCGCACCAGGGAACTCGTTTAAGGCCAAATCGACCTAAGGGAGGCCCAGGACTGGTTGAGGCATGACCGCGATGGAGAATTCAACTCAGGCGCGCTGTGTTCGTCAGGCAGCACAGCTGACTCCTGGCGCGCCACCCGCCCCCGTCCAAGCTTTAATCTCTCACAAGCACCCAATTCACACATTCACACATGTGTGTGTGTAATCAACCAATCACTAACTCAACCACCCACATACCCATCAACTACCCATACACACACACAGCAGGGAGCTGTTTTTACTTGTATTCACAAACCCATGCAGAGGCACCCACAACCACTTACCCAACCACCCACTAATTCACCTACCACTCAACTATCTACCCATCCAACTACCCATTCATCCGTCCAACTACCCATTCATCCGTCCAACCACACACTCACTCCTACCTACCCACCCACCTACCCACCAACCTACCCACTCCACCTACCCACCCCACCTACCCACTCCACCTACCCACCCCACCTACCAACAACCTACCCACCCCACCCACCCACCAACCCACCCACCAACCCACCCACCAACCCACCAACCTACCCACCAACCCACCAACCTACCCACCAACCCACCAACCTATCCACCAACCTACCAACCTACCCACCAACCTACCCACCAACCCACCAACCTACCCACCAACCTACCCACCAACCCACCAACCTACCCACCAACCTACCCACCAACCCACCAACCAACCCACCAACCCACCCACCAACCCACCCACCAACCCACCAACCAACCCACCAACCCACCAACCAACCCACCAACCAACCCACCCACCAACCCACCAACCAACCCACCAACCCACCAACCAACCCACCAACCAACCAACCCACCAACCAACCCACCAACCCACCAACCTACCCACCAACCCACCAACCTACCCACCAACCCACCAACCTACCCACCAACCCACCAACCTACCCACCAACCCACCAACCTACCCACCAACCCACCAACCTACCCACCCCACCTACCCTCCCACAAACTCGACGGCGCCCCCCGTCGCCTACCTTCTCGTGAGCACGACTCCAGTGCTTGTGCACGTTCCTGGCGAAGAGAGCGGCACGCGGCGAGCCCTCCGCCATGGCGCGCGCGCGCGCTGCGCTGCAGACGCAGGGAGCGAGCGGACGCGCCGCTGAGACTTCTGCTGCTGCTGAAGCTGCTCGCCTTTGCTGCCCGCGCTAGAGGGGGAGGCGTCTTGGTGGTGGGATGGGTGGACCGTGGGGAGGGCGGTGAAGGCAGGAACAGCGTTTCCTCGAAACGGCCACCACCACCACCACCACGAACCACACGCTCCTCCCCACTCGTCCACTCACACCCCCTCGACCTATGCTGCTACCCCCTCCCAATCACCCTCCACTGCCACCACCACCACCCACCATACCCAGCAGCCACTACCACCGCGAGAACCACTCATCAACACTCCAGCCAACGCTGTCACTACCGCTATACCGACTCATCAGGCCACCCACCACTATGCCAACTCACCAACACTCCAGTGACTCCACCCACCAACACTCCACCCACCACTATACCCACCCACCAACACTCCAGCCACCACTATATGCACCCACCACCATATCCACCCACCACCATACCCACCCACCAACACTCCACCCACCACCATACCCACCCACGAACACTCCAGTCACCACTAAACCCTCCCACCAACACTCCACCCACCACTATACCCACCCACCACCATACCCACCCACCAACACTCCACCCACCACCATACCCACCCACCAACACTCCAGACACCACTATACCCACCCACCACCATACCCACCAACACTCCACCAGCACTCCACCCACCACCATATCCACCCACCAACACTCCAGACACCACTATACCCACCCACCGTTCTGTGTGGAGTGTGTATGTGTGGAGTGTGTATGTGTGTAGTGTGTATATGTTCTGTGTGGAGTGTGTATGTGTGTAGTGTGTATGTGCGGAGTGTGTATATGTGGAGTGTGTATATGTTGTGTGTAGTGTGTATGTGTGGAGTGTGTATGTGTGGAATGTGTATGTGCGGAGTGTGTATGTGTGTAGTATGTTTGTGTGGAGTGTGTATATGTTCTGTGTGGAGTGTGTATGTGTGGAGTGTATTTGTGTGGAGTGTGTATGTGCGGAGTTTGTATGTGTGTAGTATGTTTGTGTGGAGTGTGTATATGTTCTGTGTGGATTGTGTATGTGTGTAGTGTGTTTGTGTGGAGTGTGTTTGTGTGGAGTGTGTATGTTATGTGGAGTGTGTTTGTGTGGAGTGTGTATGTTATGTGTGGAGTGTGTATATGTTATGTGTGGAGTGTGTATATGTATGTGTTTGTGTGTAGTGTGTATGTGTGGAGTGTGTATGTTATGTGGAGTGTGTTTGTGTGGAGTGTGTATGTTCTGTGTGGAGTGTGTATGTGTGAAGTGTGTATGTTCTGTGTGGAGTGTGTATATGTTCTGTGTGGAGTATGTGTGGAGTGTGTATGTGTGGAGTGTGTATGTTATGTGTGGAGTGTGTATATGTTCTGTGTGGAGTGTGTTCTGTGTGGAGTGTGTATGTGTGGAGTGTGTATGTTATGTGTGGAGTGTGTATCTGTGTATGTTCTGTGTGGAGTTTGTATGTTCTTCCGCTGTTCTACAAACCCGGTGACCCGAGTTCGATTTCTGGCTCACGACCAATAACAGTGGAATGTATCTGAAGCGCTACTGGACCTCCCCTTGGTCGACTCATCGATGTGTGAACATCGCCACGAGGGAGACAAAGGCGGCCGGGCGTGGCACCGGCCACGACCCCCTCTTGTTCCGTGCCGGGCCTTCATAGGCGCTACTCGCTAACAGCACTTGCCCAAAGAGTATGCGAATGTTATACGGGGGACCTTTGCCTTTGTTGAATGTGTATGTTCTCTCCCTGTTCTGCTTGAGTTTCCACCGGGTACCCCGGTTTCCTCTCAGAGCTAAAACAAAACCAATGTGGCAGATGTTTGGTCAATAGGAGCGCAGAACAAAAATATTCAGATGACTAATCTGGAATTGCACATCGCAACGTCTCCTCCTCCTGCGAGACCTTGGCAGGAGCCTCCTGACAAAGAGCCTTGAGACTCAGCGAGGCTTTCTTGAGATAGAAAAAAAAACCCACGTGCATGCAAATAACTAAAGATATTTATGATACTAGCTGTGCCACCCGGCTTCGCCCGGGACTTGGATCCACCACGCCCGGCCACCTTTGTCTCCCCAGTGGCGAAGTTCACACACCACACCAGTTATTCGTTTTGAGGCTGAGGGGGTCCAGGACCGGTTAAAATAATCGTCACCGGTGGTGCCGTGAGCGGGAATCGAACTCGGGTCTCCGGGTTCGTAGCGCGGTGCGCTAACCACTACACTACAATGCGTTACGCGTCCACACACAGACACACACAGACACACACACAGACACACACACAGACACACACACAGACACACACATACACACACACAGACACACACATACACACACAGACACACACACATAGACACACACATACACACAGACACATACACAGCGTGCTAACCACTACACTACAATGCGTTACGCTTCCACATGCGCGGGTCACGTGACAGATTTGACGTCACAGCTCACTTGCCGTGCAAAAAAAATCAGCATTATTGAGCTCCCCCCCCCAAAAAAAAATTTAAGTGTATTTTTATAATGTTTGCATGGTGTACAGTCTGGAAAGTACCCACATGGCAAATTTCAAGCTTGTTGCATGCCTTTTATATATGGAGACAAACGGGTAAATGTTCCGTCTCGTTTATTATAACCATATTTTTAGTTCATAGTTTCCGTTTTAACCAAATGGGGTACAGTGCTTTATGTGCCATAGGAAAAAAAACAGATAAAGGCGCAGCCCTGACAATTGACTTGGTCGCCCCAAGCCAATTTGCACGGTTGGCTACGTACGGTGCGAAAGAATGTCAACATAATACATGAAAATGAAATTATAGTGATGATGGTGGTGGTGATGATAATATGATAGCGATGATGGTGACAATATGATAGTGATGATAATATTATTGTCATGGCAATATGAGTCCATGACGATGACGACGATGGAGACAATTATTACGATAACTAAAACAACAACAACAACCGCCATTCGCCACTAAGTGGCGGTGACGTCACCACGACGCTGGTGCCAGGCTAGGTGCACCTTGAGGCCACGTGAAGTGTCGAACGTCCCGCTGGCAAGAGGTTACGGGGCAGACCCATGTGCCACGGGTCGAGTGACTGAGATGACCGATACGATATAGTAATGACACCTACGTTGACCAGTCTAGACGGCTATGACACACCCACTCGCGGAACCCATAGATAACTCTTGTGGAGGGTCATTTGGCCTACTCTTCCACGTTGGCCAGACGTCTTGGGCGAGGTGTGAGCAGGGCCGGATGAAGCGAGTGCGGGGCCCATAGAATATGTTATAAATGGGCCCTAAAAACGGGTAAATATTAAAACACATAGATTTTTAACTTGCACAGTAAGCATACTCTTTGGGTCTTTTGCTAAAGTCACGTAGATAGAAAAATAAAAAAAATGAATTATTGCAGTCACGAAAGCTTTAAGTCAAGATTTGCATAGCAAAGTAATTGTATTTTGTAATTTCCTATACAGCCAGATAACACGACAAATATCGCTAACCTTAAACGCCCAATCGTTCAAAAAAAAAGATGAAGTCGGTATAGTACTATAGTAATAGAGCAAGTGCAGAACCACTGAACCGGAATTGACAGCTTGAAAGCGTTTAGCGCTGGGCCCTTGAAAGTGCGGGCCCCGAAGCACACGTGTGCAGCTACTAGGGTCGTCCGGTGCTGGGTGTGAGCGCCCACACTCTAGCCCGACGTAACCGTGGGTGTCCCCACGCTTCGGCATGTTGCTGGGGGGAGACAAAGGCGGCCGTGTTAAGGAGAATGGCCGTGTTTTCAACAGGCGCGCGCCGGGAGATAGAACTGGCGGACGTCTAATTTAGATTCAATTCCAGATTTGAAGCTTTCGTGACTGCAAGGATACATACTCTTCTTTGGTTCTGTTCGGTAAAGTCACGTAAAAGTATAAAACAACAAAAAATAAAAAATAATTTTGATTTGAAGTTTTCGTGACTGCAGGGATCCATACTCTTTGGTTCTTTCGGTAAAGCCACGTAGTAGGTAGAACATGTAAAAATTTAATAAATTAAATCACGACGTTTCGATCGCAACACAAGCAATCATCATCAGGTGGGAAACCCACAGCAAGAACATTTTTGCTGTGGTTTTCTCACCTGATGATGAATACTTGTGTTGCGATCGAAACGTCGTGATTTAATTTATTTGTATATTTTTATACCTACGTGTCGTATGTTTTGCTCATGGCAGTGGCATTAGCAATCCAGAGTGTGCCAACCATTAGCAACACCACGGAATCAGCCAATGTGCCGCCCCTTTATAATCAAGGTAAGGCACATGAACAGCCCGTTTGTCGATCTACTGCTGGATGAAAGACTCATGTGGGCTCGTGGAGGACACAACGATGGCTAGGAGATGTTAACTCCCTCGCCTGGTGTGCAGGAAGTCGTGGGTTCCAACCCGACCGTGACGCCTGCTGCTGCTGTATATTTGGAGTTTGCGTGTCTCTCTCTCTCTCTCATCATCACGGTGGCTAGGAGATGTCAACTCCCTCGCCTGGTATACAGGAGGTTGTGGGTTCGATCCCTGACGCCTGCTGCTGTATATTTGGAGTTTGTGTGTCTCTCTCTCTCTCATCATCACGGTGGCTAGGAGATGTCAACTCCCTCGCCTGGTATACAGGAGGTTGTGGGTTCGATCCCTGACGCCTGCTGCTGTATATTTGGAGTTTGCGTGTCTCTCTCTCTCTCTCTCATCATCACGGTGGCTAGGAGATGTCAACTCCCTCGCCTGGTATACAGGAGGTTGTGGGTTCTATCCCTGACGCCTGCTGCTGTATATTTGGAGTTTGCGTGTCTCTCTCTCTCTCTCATCATCACGGTGGCTAGGAGATGTCAACTCCCTCGCCTGGTATACAGGAGGTCGTGGGTTCTATCCCTGACGCCTGCTGCTGCTGTATATTTGGAGTTTGCGTGTCTCTCTCTCTCTTTCATCATCATCACGGTGGCTAGGAGATGTCAACTCCCTCGCCTGGTATGCAGGAGGTCGTGGGTTATATCCCTGACGCCGGCTGCTGCTGTATATTTGGAGTTTGCGTGTCTCTCTCTCTCATCATCACGGTGGCCAGGAGATGTCAACTTCCTCGCCTGGTATGCAGGAGGTCGTGGGTTCTGTCCCTGACGCCTGCTGCTGCT